ACCCTTCTTTTAGTTTTTTCATTTTCATATATAGACTGGCTTGATAAGTAAACATGTCATCAAAGTGTTCGAAACACATTGTGCGAATACATCACATTTTGCAGATAATCTTTGTCTTCTAATAATATTATTGAAACACATAAACCTTACTGGTTCGACAGTCTATGGCATTTCGTTAGGTGCACTATTTTTTGATGCGTTTTGTTAATAGACTTTGGCCATTGCTGAGCTATAAGCACCAGATAGCTACATTAGACTGACTGGTTGCCAACCCAGTTATACAATCCAGTCTTCAGAGAGGCACTTGTGGTCTGTAAACCTTGATTTTTAGGTTTTTAATTTCAAAACCATGACGCGAGTTCAATTCATCAAATGAATATGAGTTTCCAAAAGACTGTGGATGTACATCGCTGATGAGGTCCGGAAAGCATGAAACACTGGTGCGGGGCTTCCTACCGATTTATTTGCAACATCTAACCCGAAGTGTCTTTAACTGAATAAAGAATATGTGCGAAGAAATATTTCTTTCCAATCAGTTTCTCACAGATAGCTCTACACAAATTTATAACATTCTGAAATTACATAACTCCATAGCAGTCTAGTGGCGATATTTGCTTCATAATAAGTTATCAGTCTCAAAGTATCAAGGAAGTTATAATTAATTATGTGATGAAAAGTGTGGCTAAAGTATAGAATAACCATATGGCAAAATGTGTGAAGTTTTAAACAGATTGTTGAGTAGTCGGTAGTTTGTACAATAACTGCTAACACGAAGAGAAGACACAGCGTATTATTACACCAACCAGCCCCTTGTTGACGATAATTAGAGACAAGAAGGTGAAGAGCAAGGTGATTAAAACTGTAGTAATAATAATAATGACTAAATAAATTACCATAGTAAATATCCAGGCAATATGAAGGTATTCAATTAGAAGCCCATGTGGTAACGGACGTCAAACAATTCGATCCTGTATGAAAAAGGAGAGTTGCAAGTCCTTCAAAAAATAGTTATGATAATAATTGCTAGCGTTTTAGGATTAATGAGTGGGAGGATGATGCATTTTACAGATAAGTTATACAGATGCCCAAGTTCAGACTTGTTGGAATTTCGTCGAAAGACGCACATTCGGCTTGTTCGAGTGGATTCTGATGACTTTTGCTCCATATAAAAGACGAACACGTAGAAGGTGGGTGAGAGTAGAAAAAAAGGTGTCAACTTTTAAGGCTTTGTGAATATTAACTCAGTGATCACTGTCAACCAGATGAGGAAATATTGAGCGCCGTACTGAACTTGTTTGCCCCTTACTTTATCAGACGGATGATGTTTGATAATTTGACAACAAACTCAACTGTACACCCAAAATAAGTAGCTTCAAAGAAGCAGTTAAACTAGAAAATGTACATAGAGAGGGAATTAAGGTATTCTGTCTTTGGTTCACGAAGTATTCTTCGACTGACTGTAGAGTGCACAGCATACCTTAGCTGCATAAAAAGGTCTCCTTATGGTTTTCCTTAATTTCTGTGTCACAATTCCCTTGGTGATTTCACCCTAAAACTGTTGTTATAAGAATGGAGGTTTCTTGGAAGCTGGAGGTACTCTGGTTTTCAAATCATATTTGTCAATATTTTTAACTAGAAACGTTTCTGGATATTGACTGCTACAGGGTAGGCCACAGAAAATTTGAAGTTATTCGTGTGAATAGATAAGTCTTGTTCAATGGACGAAACATGTGACTAAATTTTGTTTATGAAACTCAAAAAATGAGTGTATTGACCGGTTTACACTGGTTTCCGACATACACTGCTTTTTATAATTCCGTGCATCTTCCTTGCCAACCGGATTTCCAAGAAGGTGATGCTATCGTCACTATCTCTCTCATTCGTGTAGGTTATCACTGGATGTACGCTATTAAATTTATCCCGTATAATGCTCGTATCATCCTTCTTCTCCAGAATCAGAAATGTACCACTTTAGTGACGATAGTAAAATTTTCACTTTCTTATCATGCTCTCCAAAGGGTTTTTTTCAACTTTACTAGTAGAAAATCCGTTAAAATTGGGCCTAGTGGTGACCCTATAGCAGCCTGTAGAATTCTTTATTGAAGAGGAAGTATACATTCATTGTACATCTTAAGACAAGTTCTTTCAAGTTAGATGTCATTTAAATGAATAAATTACAAGAAAGTTATTTTTTAACCAGCTGGAATAACAGAACAACTGATTTCTTTTGGTCGTTAAAGTCCTGAAGCCAATATATCTTCAAAAACTCCCAATAAAATTACATCTCGTTGCACACTAGTGACTTTACTTCAAGACACTTGTCCCCAAGTTCAGTTGAGAAGGCGTGACGTGTGAAGTCAAACAAGTTTGAAATAAGGTGGATAATCACCGATGACACTGAATGATGGTTTCTCCACATCCCAGACTGACAGAAGTAAGGAAAAGTGAACTATCAGATTCTAACCAAATGGCTGAATGGCGAAGAGCTCGCTATGAGACCTGATGGTGGTAGGCTTGATCCAACTTGGGATCATGAATGAAAACTCCTGAGAAGTCCAGTACAAGGACAAAATATTTTGAAACTTTAAGTTTCATTTTTTCTATTTCAATACCATTCACATACAACAGAATTTAGAACATTTGGCATCTACTATGAGGCTTATTCCATACTTTCATTCACAAATCAGATTAAGCTGTGAAAAAATTTAGTTTTATCTGTCAAACTCGACTTGATGTAAAGAAATTTGTTGATAAATGTGTAAATCCTGACTGCCACACTTTTTTCAGTGAACAGCTGTCATCATGAACATTTCGTTTCTTCAAGTTCAGTTAGTTTAACTGTTCGGGACCACCGGGTGGTCACTGGTTCGAATCCGGTAGCGGTACAGATTTTCGTCCCACCTTCTGTCATCACCCAGTATAATAGAAGTGATGTCAAATTCTGGTGGTCAGAACAATTTAGCAAACTAATCTGATTTTGCTCAGACCCCTTAAGCTTACGTTTAACCTAGTATGTATTAAATAACCGCTTGGTGTTTATTTTACGCTTTACAGTTACTGAGACCGATGGGTCAGAGTGCTGGTTTTCTAATTATTCACTTTTTCGAGTAGTATATTTCACCAGTCTTTCAAAATTTTGCTTAAAATACGCAGTGTTAAATAAATGATCTCTAATGGAAACCTTAGCTTAATCGTAGCTTGGTATTGGAAGTACGAAAATATCGCTCTAATGTTACTTCCTCATCTTAAATGGTATTTTACCAAATAATAAAATTTGCAGTGGGACCTCCTATTAGTATGATGCTGCAGTTTTAAAACTTAGAAGTTAGAGTATCGTTCAAACACGACAGATGCTGAGTTAACTTAATGGTGTTCTTTATAAAGCTGCTTATCCCGAGATCTTAGTTGTGTCTGACACTAAGAAATCTATGCCGAAAGTTTAGTTTAACGTCAATTTCCTCCAGGTAATCAAACTGTGTTTCCTTTATGAAGGCGGAACCATTTCTTAGCACACTAGTTGTTACTACTTCAACTGAAGTCGGCGAGCATACAATCAGTAAAAAGTTTCAAGAGGGTTCTGATAAATAGACGAATAATTCACATATAAATTTGGTGGTTGAAAACTATTAAAGATGGAAGGGGGGTAAGGACCTAGATTTCATCTTCTTATGAAGTCTTAAGAAAAGTATATCGACAGATTTTTAGGAAATTGACTCTGTCTCCGAGATCTAAATTCAGTTCACTGTGTTACAATTGTAAATGTCTCCATGGCAGTATTCAAGAGGTTACTAAATTCTTATAAAACTAAAGAGAAAACACAGTAAAAACATTTCTCTTAGATTAGTGAACATTGTTCAGACTTGATTTACAGAATAAGATTAGTACTTAGAACTGGATGAAGTAGTTTTTATTATTTTTCACTGACCAATCATCTTAGACTAAGAACTCAACTGTTTCCTCTGGTGGTCACAAAGCAGCATATCTAAAGTATTTGTTCTAAGCTTGTTTTCAACAGATAAGGATTGTGCGATTCCGAAAACTGTTCTAAAACTTACAGTAAAGTAAGTCTCACAGGACGGAGTGGAATGATAACTGATACCAACAGTGGTAATCGTTCTTTCCTTTTAAAAGGAGCACAATAATAAGGAATGTGTTCATCTTTCGTGCTCCAAAATGACAAGGAAAATCATTTACTGAAAATAAAAATGCTCACTAATCATTTAATAAAACATCAGAGTGAAAGGGGCGTATTAAGTTAGTTGACCTTATAGAATCAGAAATTACCAAAAATGGTGTAAAGATGTATATTATTCCAGCATTTTTATCATTAATTTGGTAATCAACAATAATTTTGCAACTTGTGTTTAGTTCAGAAAACTCTTCACTATTTCTTATTATCAATAATCAATAGCAAGACAAATTACCTATATAAATTTTATTAATTGACAAAAATTTCTTTTCTCCATTCTTCGATAATCTCAGTGACCCAGTTTACAAAGGAAGTGGATTGAATGTGAAGGCTCATGTTCTCTTCAGGTGGTTTCAGTGTTTCCTGAGATTTCTGAATTTCTTAGACATTATTAAAAGTATAATGTTCACCAGATTTGAAAAGAACAACTTTTCTGAGGGTAACAGGCAATCAACGTTTAAAATTTTGATGTATATTCTATTTGACTCCTAAGAAAACGATCAAAGTTTTTGTTGTTTCAATGATCATAATACATATTGTCAAAATGAATCCATGTTATATGTACATTACCGGAAATTCAACAAAATACACATTCTAAACTCAAGTTAATAGAATTTATCATCTCAGTAGATCTGTGGCTGATCATACTCACTCACACACATGAAAACATATGCACTTACTTGGAGTCAGATGTTTCACAATGTGAGTAAAGAACGAATCAAATTTCAGGTGACTCAATGTTTTTCACAGTTTTTCAATATACTTTGCATATATATATATATATATATATATATATATAAAGAGAAAAATAGTCAGAGTTCATCCTAACAAAGTTCTTACATTATATACTGCAACAGTTTAAATAAAGACGAAAGGACTGATGATTTAGTTTTAATTAACTGACTTCTTCAAGTGCATTTAGTTTTATCAAATCATGGATATTCCATTCGAAAATATTTTACTTCTTCTATTCGCAAAAGCACTCCAGTGAACATTTTTCATGTAAAAATGACTGATACAGTTTACATAACCATCCCGTCTACACTTGATAAAATTATACAAAATGAACCAAATGAGAACACTATGAGTTGTATTATTAACAAAAGGAATGATGACAATGATATTATAAACAAATTTCATACTACTGTTGACCAGATAATAAGAAGTGATACTAGTAAAAAGGAAGAACTACCTCAACTACCAACAGTGATTAAAACAAAGAAGAAAAAGTTTAGCATACTCCGTTTTAAACAATTGAAACTTAAAAGTGATCTCATTGGTGTACATCTTAACGGACGAAGTCGACAGATTAGTGAAAAAGATGGAGAAATTAATGACAAGAATACTACTACAGAAAAAGCACGCGATAAGTGGAATAAGAAAATAGACTTTTTGTTATCTGTAATTGGATTTGCTGTTGACCTAGCAAATGTATGGCGTTTTCCATATTTATGTTATAAAAATGGTGGAGGTAAGCAGTCAGTTTTATGATGTTTCTCATCTGCTTATTTCGGTGCTATTATATGATCCTCACATTGTGATATTATTCTTTCCTGTTGCTTTCCTACGAGTAATTGGGAAACTTGTTGAGTATGGTGCATAATCCTCCATTCGGATGTTTAAAGGATATTACTTTGCGCTTATATTCAAGCGAAATATCCTGACGGTTTTATTTACAGTCAGTCGAGTTTTGTACTTAACACATCTAATGAAATTGCAAAAATTGGCCTAGTAATAACTTTTAGTTTTAACTACATTAACAACATTTAGATATTCAGTGGAGATTTGACCCTTCCTAGGATATACTCTAAGATATCCTATTCAAATAGGAAAACGTGCGTCTTATCACTTGTGCCAAGGGTACCAGATAGATCTTTCTCGACCAGTATTTTCAACGTCAAGTAATCAGTTACATACGGTTAGTTGACCTGTAATGTAGTGCTAACAAGTGTCCAAAGAGTGTGCTTAGGCAGATTTAAAGCACACATTAACATTGAAGTAAAGCTTGAGCTCTGTGGTAGATTGTAATTCCCTTCTAGTCTGATTATTAGACATGTCACTACAGGAAACAGTGAAACCTGATATGATTATAGACAATAAATTATGACTGGAAGGTTATCTGGTAAATAATAGTGTTTCATTTTGTAACACTTCTAATGAACAAAGTCAAATGGCAGAGAAGTACTTCTTTTGGACAAGGCTGGAGGTGCTAGATTTGTAAAATAAAACATTATCACTCATTTCACAGATACACACTGGCCAAACTAACCTAAAATTTCAATGACTGAAAAGAAATCACATATAAACGCACTTTAATCATAAAATATTGACCGGTGGCATAACATGTACTGTAAATAAAGTGACTCCAAAGTTTCTAAACAAAAACCACCATAAGCTGTATATCTGTCACAGATGTTTTATTATTATTATTATTAGTTTTCCCTTGGGTTCCTAGTGGAACATGGTGCTTCAGTAGGACGCCTCTAGCATTCTTTTGAACCTGGCTCCACGACAGCCCACAAGCTCTCATTTCTTCCTCACGCCATCTCCTCCATGTCACCCTCGACTCAGACGCCCAACTTGCCGCTTCCCATCTGGATTCCACTTGAGTATCTGGTGCGTGATGTCCCCGAATGGTCTTCTCAGTGCATGCCCAATCCATCTCCACTTCCTTCTGCAAATTTGTTGAGCGATAGGTTCTTGGTTGGTTCGTTGCCAATCAGGCCAGAGTTCCTTTTTGCTTATTCTTTCTGGCCATCTGAGCTTCAGTATCGAGCCAGCGTAGGCAGTTGTTGATGAATGTCTGTAGTTTGTTGGAAATGCTTTTCGTGACACGCCAAGTTTCTGAACCATCACATAGAAGCACTGACTTGACTGAACTGGCGTTGAAAATCCGGATCTGGTTCACGCTTTATGCTGAGTGTAATGCAGTAGATTTCCACACTGGTTTCAAATTAATGCAGGAAGGCTTGTCTTGTCGTCTTTCGGATCCTGGCTTTGACGTCTTCGTCTGTGGCGCCGCCTGTAGTCGAAACGATGCTACCCTGCCTAGATAGGTGAAAGAGGCTACTTCCTTTAATTTTCTGCCGTTGATGGTGATTGGAGCTTGTTGTTGGTGTTGGTTGGGTATCATCTTCACCTCTATCTTCTCTACGTTCACTTAAAGTCCTGTCTTCGCTGCCTCAGCTGTCAACTTGTTAGTTTTTGCCTGTAGATCCTCGAGTTTGTGCAACATTAGACACAAGTTATCGGTAGTTGGATTGATTTTACGGGGTAGAATTGATAGACCTATGCCCAACCTTCCCTCTTTACCCGGGCTTAGAACCGGCTAGTAACTAATGAACTTTTTAACCAGGTGAGGTTCACTGATGTTTTGTATATCACTAAATAGACGGTTGAGAAATCATACAGTAGGATGAGAATAATAAGAAAGGGAACAACTAATACTAGCTAGTACATTATGTAGCATGCAAAGAAGTGACAGCCATAAGAATGAGATCAGTTTAGTGAATCTAAATAAGTAGGTGAGTAAGAATTAAACTGTACGACTAAAATGAAAAAAAAATATTAGAATGTACTGACCACGATAGGAAGAGACGGATGATGCTCTCTTTGTTAACTTGTAGATTGAGTTGAAATTGCTTGTAATAATTTCTTTTATAAAGCGTAGTAGTCAAGGTATTTTTTTGCACATTTAGTATTTTAAGAGCACTAGAAGTATCAAAGTGGTATTCTGTGTTTACAAGATGTCTAATAATCGCACAGGTCGGAAACCTACTTCTCCTAAGCACAATGTTTCCGAGTTATGATCGGGCAAACAAACAGAAACTTTCCTTGCACTTCTCACAATGTTTCTGTATGTAAATTGATGGAAGCAATAGGGGGTGATGGTGTGGACAGAATGCTTACACAGTCTTGTCAGGTTGAGTTAGCAAACAGTATCATATACTGAAACAAGTTTGGATTCAGACAAACCACTTACTACAAATCTAGTCCTTCTCACTACTTTTGGTTCATTGAATGAGCCGAATGTATGAAATATTACTTTTCCATAGATTTTAAGCCCACTCTTTGCAAAAAACTGAGTGCTGTGCTGGTAATTACTAGATAACAATTAAAAATAAACTAGAAGACGTATTCGGATCTCTACAATGTTTTATAGCTGCATAACTACTATTGGCTAGTAGTAATAATCAGTTAAGAATTCAATGAACGCGTCACTAATCATATAGGTAACGAATAAAGCTTCATATGTCATGTAATTTTCAAAGCAGTTAAAAATTATTATATTTGAATCTAGCAATAATAATCCTATATCAGACTGTTTATTTGATATTACGCATGGTGATACAGTATTTTTTACTGGATGACATTTTCAGCAGAATTTATTGCTTATACTAATTTCAAAGTAATCATTAGACTTTCAAACTTCCTTTATATAATCCGATAGTTCTTCTTTCGTTTGCTTTTAGTTTGGTTATTAGAAACTTCACACAGTGAAACAGTATCATTTACTGGATAACGTTTCGGAAATAATTTATTTTCAGCATTCATATCAGGTACCCCCCCCATCCCTGCAAACATATTCATAGATAGTCGTGAACGGATGAACCTTCAAATATTTAGTCCTACTCCAAAATATGGTTCCGTTATGTAGATGATACGTTTACAGTGCTAAAATCGGGACATATCAATCATATCAATAAATTCAGTAGCGAATGCAGTCTAATTTACCTGTGACTTAGAAAGTGATGAAGGTGAGCTAACATTGCTCGATTGCAAGATTAAAAGAACACAAGATGGAAGTTTAGAGACTAGTGTCTAAAGGAAACCTACCCATTTGAATAGCTACTAGACTTCATATCATCTCACTCCATCTCACTTGAAATAGACTTAGTTAAATGTCTATGTGACAGGGCGGAAAAGCTTGATAGTAGACCAGAAAATCTACAGATTCAGATTTCAGATTTGTTGTTTGAGGAATAGGTGGCTGGGAGCCTCTAGTAGATTTTTGTACTTGTCCAATCCCCTTTTGAACAAGCCAGTTGATGATGTGGACACCGCTTCTTCTAGAAGTTGGTTCCAGGCGTTGATTACTCGACGCGAGAACCAGTACTCTGCGGAGACCATGTTTGTTCTTTGCTTTTGTAGTCTCCTACTATTTCCTCTGAGGTGTTCCGACCTAGTGTGAAGGAAAAGAGGAGATAGATCAGGCCCGAAGTCATTTTTTTAGAATCCTGTATAGCATGATTAGGCTCCCCTCTGTCTACGATAGGACAAAGTGAAGAGGTTCAGCTCCTTAAGTCGGCCTTCATAGGTGAGGCCAGCCATCGTAAAGATCATACGAGTAGCTGCCTTCTGAATCCTCTCTAGAATGTCCGCGTCACTTTTCAGACAAGGACTAACACCCTGTTCAGTTTTATAATTTAGACCTAACTAAGGATGTTTATAAGATGGTGAATATGCCACCACTTATTTTCGTAATCGTTCTACATAATTCCCAGAGAGTCCTAAAACTCCGAGCTACTACCGATTGACAGTGAGCCGTGGTTTTCAAGTTATAACTCACCATGACTCCTAGGTTATTGTGGACCAGTACCGACGGTAAAGGAGTCTCATCAATATCGCGGGTATTGCTGCTCATGTGTGCCCCAACTGCATGCTCACACATTTACCTGCGTTGATAGGCCTCAGACACTTCTCTGACGGGGTAAACAAGCTGTTCAGGTCTGCCTAAAGCGCCCGCATATCCTCATGGTTCCCAATTCCCCGCCAGAATTTTACATCATCAGCGTGGAGAACCATAGGGGATTCCGCGATATTTGGCAGCTCATTTATGTATAGAAGAAACAGTAGGGGGCCTAGGACTGTGCCTTGTGGTACTCCACTCTCTAGCGACTTCTAAGTGGAAAGTTGAGAATTGATCCTAACTCTTTGTCTCCAACCAACAAGAAAGTCTCTTATCCATGGGAGCAGACTGCCAGTGATTCCGAAACTTCACACTTTCCAGAGCAACCTGGAATGAGGTACTTTGTCGAACGCCTTACTAAAGTTAATGAAAATGACATCTAAAGGTGTCTTATCATCTTTTGACTTAACCCAACTTTCCCTAAGTGTAAGGAGGTTCATCAAGCAAGAGAAATTTCTACTAAAACTGCTGTGAACGAGACAATACAGTGTTACTCCCTAGGTGGACTGTGATGACTTTCTTGATTACTCTTTCTAGGATTTTCACTACAGTACTAGTCAAACTTATCGGTCTGTAATTTGGTGGGAGCTGCCTAGAATCTGCAGCTCATCCGGTCCCGTTGATTCTTCTACATTCAGAGTACTTAATTTCCGAAATATATCATTGCGATCGACATCCGCATAGTTTATTCTGTTGGATATCAATGCATCTACTGTTGGATAAGTGTCCACAGAAGATTCCTGTGTGAAGGCCTCAGCAAAATATCCAGCCATTGCTTCTGC